ACTCAGTTGCTGCTTGATGTAGGTTGCTAAGCCTTTAACAAATTTGCACATGAAGGATATGAAACAAAATAATGTTATCAATGTTTCCACGCTGATTTTTCCAAGCCTGTTCCATTGGCTGTGGTTTTGCTGGATAGTAGATAGTACATTTAGTACATGGGAACAAAGCTTGTAATGAAAGCATAGTTGATAATTCTCCATACAGAAAACAATGTAATATTATATATCAGTTGATAGATGAAAACTTTAGCTTTCTATTGGTTATAAATAATATAGTATTAAACGTAAGAGAAAATGTAAGAGAGAGGATGTAACAAGAGGGGTCTGAATTTTTATTTGATGGCTCTGTAACCAAACAAGATTAAAGGCTATGAAAATTATGCTTTGCCTGAGTGATGAAAATATTATCATGAGTAATTTATGTTAAATTTTGTACTTATTGGATAGGTGGCAAATAAATTAGAGAAGAGGAGATGCCCAGAAAAAAAATATCACATTTCTCACAATAGGGGAAATTCATGATTTTTTAAATATTGCCTTGTAAAATTAAGAATCTAAAATTTATATACTATTAAAATATGGATTATTAGTTACAGTTTTATGCTATACTAATTGGTATAACATGAACAAAAATTAGTTTACATTTTGAACGTAACTCACTAACAACCTTGTGACATGTACAGTAATGGATGCTTGTGGAGAGAGGGTTGATAAGACTGAAGTAAAAGAGAGGGCATGGGTGGTAGAGAAAGAGGGGGACAGACTTGAAGCAGAGGTAACCAAGGTTGAGTCGGCTAAAAAGACATCACCAAAAGGACATGACAAGGAGTGTCACAAGTCAAGGCCAGTTAAAAGAAGGAGAGGTGGGTATGCATAAAGGAAAAGATGAGACCAGTCCTGACTGAAAGCATTGATGGCTAGGGCACAAGAATAGAGCAAGCTTGGAATTTAGAGAGGAGGCAAAGGCATCAATGAGTGAAGTCCCCACTAGAGAACCCACCCACTGGAAAACCTGAGGGTGAAGAGGCCATTCTGTGGGTAGGAAATAGTCCAGCCAAGTTAAGTGGTCCACTGCACCCAGTACAAGGCAGGCAATTAGGTGAACCCATTGAGCATTGGCCCAATAAAGAAGGTTGAGGATTTGAAAACAAAGGGTCCTGGATTAGGTAACCCTTTGGTGGTTGATGTAGGAAACAACCATGCAGTTGTTGGAGTGGATCATAACTAAATGATCCACAAGGAAAGGTAGGAAATGGAAACATTCAAGTGTGTTGATGTGGTGAGAGGATTCATTCTGGAGCCTAGTGCCTGATGTGAGACTGTAGTTCAGAGTTGTTCTCCAACTAGAGAGGCGAAGCATTGGTGAAGAGGTGTAGGTAAGGTTTGAGAGGAGGTATTGGAACACCAATGGTGGTATTGGATCAATCCAGTCACCAAAAGAACCTTGAGTAGAGGTCAAAGATTTCCATGAGTAATTCCACTGGTTTTGAAAGGACCATTGGAGGAGGCGCATATGAGCACAACCCAAAGGGATAAATGGCTCTAGTGAAGCCATGGTCCCAAAAGTGATTAAACCTCTTATGCAGTATGAGTAGGAAAGGCTTGCATCCTGATGACTGAAAGTTCCAGAGCTCACACACAGATAGGAGAAGGTTGAGCATGTCTAAGAAAGGAGTTGAAGAAAACTCCCAGATGAACAAGATATTGGGTGAGAGTGAGAAATGATTTGGAAGTTTTGAAGAGCCACCCCAGATAGGTGCTTTCCCTCAGAAGAAGGGAGGTATAAAGGGAAGACTTTTCATGAGTATGACAGGAAAAGCCAATCGTTCATGAAGATCCAGTTACTGGAAGATACAATCCCAATAAATGAAGAAAATGTCTTCAAGAATCTGCAATGGGGATATGAAGGAACACATCCAAGACATTGACCTTAGTCATCCATAGTCCAGTTGATGTAACAAATCCACCTCTTACGGACATTGAAGACAGATGGGATCTGAAGGAGGAGGAAGACTGTGAGGAAGAACTGGAGTAACCCTTCTGTCTGTGGAGATTTGTGTCCAAAGGTGTGCAAACTGCAAAAGATGAGCTTAAACAAGATCCAAGTGTACTTGGTAGTCACTGACAAGACTGGTGAGACTGACATTAGGTAGAAGGGTGAGGATGAGAAGTGGAGATTGAAAGATTGGAAACAGAGAGGCTCGGATGAGGTACAGGAGTAGGATGGTGGATTTGGGACTATTTAATAACCAAGAATGTAAGCAAAGACTGATGACAGGCAGCTTCTGCCTGTGATTCAATTGAATCAGGAATACCCCAAAAACTTCAGAGTGAAGAAATGTAGCAAGGCTGAGGTCTCGTAGAAAAGAAGTTGAACCCAGGAGAGAGAAGGGTATTCCTATCCAACAAGTCCTAACAAAAAATGAGCTAAGTGAGAAGGAAAAGAGCTGAATAAGTGGAACAGGCCATGGTAGAAAAGAGAAGGGAAAGAGAATCACTAGCAAATTCACCTGGGCATGGCAAAGTGCCTCCGACATGAGATGTAGAGAGGAAAGGTAATGAAGCAAAGAAAGAAGGATCAGGCAAAGATTCCCAATTGGGCACTGGAGAGTGGAGCCAACCCCAAAGGGTCTACCCCCCTAGCAGGCATGAGAGATTCTA